TTAGAAATACATGTTGAATAGAATGAGATCATCGGTAATGACCACCTTGTTCGGACGATAGGGGGCCAGCTGCCATTGAAAAAGAATCTCAGCTCCGAAAGGAATGACTGTTGATTAATTAATAGCGTCAAACCAATTGGTTCTGTCTTTGTCATTTATGTTTGGAGGACAAATACTGATTACAGTTGGAACGGAATATCTAGGATCAGTCTTCCTTCACAGCTCCCACTCGCCCTTGTAACGCAAAGAAGCCGCACCACAGAGATTAACCATGGATCATGGAAGAGTTGTACAGCTACCGCCCTCGAAGCCTTCGAGCCCTACTGGAGACCAAGTAGAGTCCTATGAGATTTCTTCCATGAATTCTCAGAGTCTTCAGTATTGATGAAATCATCAGGTGTTAAATTGGAAAATCTCTTGAAATTATATGTCCATCCAAGAACTTTTTTTTTTCATGAAACCCGCGGCCTTGAATGGGCCAAGGAAGATCACCGGAATTTTTGCTATTCACAGACTCCAGTGGGCTGTCATTAGCTACTGATACCGCCGCATAATCAAGAACAAAGCCAATAGCTGCTTGGAGATTACCTGCAAAGGGGATACAATCACGCAAATTAGGCTTAACAAGATGTCTAGGACTTCGAAGTAATTCAATTACATCTTGGAAAAGTTCTTTTTCTCCGAGTGCCATTTCTAGCGCTGCGTCGAAGTCACGCCGGAAGATAGGGCGCGGTTTTCACTGAATTTTCTTCTTGTTGGAAGGGTTGAACGTAGTCCAATATCTGATCTGGGAATCCGGTGATTGACTTGAGCCCCGCATTGGCTTTAACTCGTACAGCTTTAAAAAGTGTGACATAACCCTGGACCAGTGGCGTCATTAAATTCAACCCATAGCCCTTGGTTATTGAATCAAGACGATCAATTCTGTTCAGCATCCCATGGTGGGTTCTAAACACCTTGCAGAAGACAGCTTCCAGTATATTCGAACGGATCTGATACCAAGAGTCGTCTAATGTATCCTCTGGGAATTCCCAAAGTTTAATAAAATTCGCTGTCCGATTGCCGTTGCCCATCCATAGGATGTAGTAGTGGAGACTACTTGTAGAATTTTGGAGAATAGCCTGGATATGCTGGCACATAATCCTTCTCCAAGCAAGGAAACACTGGCCACAGTACATTCGCCACCAGTGTATATCCCGGATATCTGTCACGAAACTCGCACACCATCCTGGCCGGCTCCAAGGTATCTTATCACTCCGCTCGACTAGGACTGTATATAGCACTTCCCTTGAGACATTTAGGCCCTCGAGCCCCCTGGTATTGGCAGTAATGAGTTTTGGCAAGGATCTCGTAACCTCATAAACACCACCGTGGTCTTCAATACTTTCTTGATATTCTTTCGGCCCTGTTCCAGGTAAAAGGCCGGCGATTATCTCTTCGATTGTCTCTTTACAAAGGGACTCTAGATTTGGAAATTCGTAAATCTCTTGCATAGAAAGATGCTAGATGATATGTCCGATAATAACGACATAGCGATATAACACAGACATAAGTTACAAACCTCACGAATATCCTTGGGTATTGCGAACCACCGGCTTTCATCATGTTTGGGCGATACAACAGAGATACTCATATCTGTTGACTGTTCGCTTGGAGATGTTCTCATTCGCTTTGCCGGTCGAAAGAAGGGTATTTGACAACTGCTTGCGGGCAGTACTGTTCTGGATGGCCTTTTACCTTGCAGATAGGACATGGAGGGGCACGCACACAGTTGCTAATGAGATGGCCACCCTTCTTACAATATACGCAGATATTGCATTGGGGGAAATCTTTCTGTGTACAGCCGCAAAAACCGCATCTCTTGCAGCATGTTGTGTCTTGTGTTGGACGAAAGGACATGGCCGTACGATCTGCTTTGAAACAAAAAATGTAGATCTGAGCAAGCAAGGAAGACGAGAATCGATTGAGCTGATTGTGTAGAATCTGTCAGTAAGAATCTGAGGACTTTCATAGAGCTATACGCCTAAAAAGGTTCTCAGAGCTTCACGCAGCGTGCTGGAAGAATGATCCCTACTACTAGTAGTTACTTCACAGCTACAATCAGCCGGCTGTGGAGAAGTATCAAAAAGCCTGAGCTCTTCTTTGTATCTATAGCCCCCTAGGTCAGATGCTCATGCTTCGTTCGAGACCCTCTTCAGAATAAAATAATTTGCTTAGGTATGTAAGTTATAATAGTGAAGTCATACGTTTTACCACGAGGCAAGCCGTTCATACCGATACATCATGAGGACTGTGAAAAATAAACCAAGTGCTTCCCAATATCAGACCTACAAATCACCCAAACATCAGATGCATAAGTCAAGCCCCAATCCAAACACTCCGCGAGCCCATATACAAGAAGCTGCCAGTCAATTAGCGGCATATTTTAAGAAAAATGAGAAAGCCACACTGTGACCAGCACAGAGACTGGTGAGGCGCAAAAGGCAATGATGCTTTCCGTGTTTCACGGATTTTGAACTGACGCCTTTCGCTACCGGATACATGAAGGACTGTGATAATGAGCATCGTTACTCTCTCTGCTTTAATTGCTCATCATGCGCAGCACCGGCCTGTTCCTTAGCCGGCTTTACTGCAGAGACCTCTTCGGCATCTTTCAAGTTTTTGTTCTTCAGGGGCTCCGAAGCTTTCTGTTCTTCCCCTTCCGGAGCTTTCGATGATTGACCCGCCTTCACTTCCTCAGCATTTTCGGCTTCCGGCTCCTTTGAATCTTCCGAAGCTTCCTGCTCTTTTCCTTTGGTTTCCATATCGTCACGGACAAAGGCGTTATCGATTTCCGACTCTGCTTTAGTGTCCCGGAATAGAGTATTGACGCGCTCTGACCGCTCGGCTTGTTCTTTTTCTTCCTTTTCGCGCGCTTTGCGCTCTTGCTCCATTTCCTCCATGTGCCGAAGATCATCGACACTAGGTTCGTAAAGATGCCAGATAGTATAATGGGGGAGACCCACAACAGAGAACCCCATGCGTTTAGCCATCTGTTTATAGTTAGCAAGGAAATGACGAAGGAAGTTGCACGCAGGTCTTACCTTGCCGAATGCTTCGGTCTCGGCATGCTTTTCGAAGCTGAACGCCGGGAAATGGACTCCGGCACGAAACACCTTTGCTTTTGCAAGGATACTAACACCGCCAACGCCGTCAAGCTCCATCTCCATATCAGGATCGCCGTATGGGTCTCGCAGGTAGGCAAGGTGAGGTCGCCACGTCGCATACTCAGCATATCCTTCAACAATAACCGCATCCTCATCCAGCGTCTCTGCCAGGGCCAATGCCGTTTCCGACTCCTGCCAGGAGTTCAAATCGTAGGGCTGCTCCCCGCCCAGCCAGTCTGGGAGTGGTCGCCAGACATCTGATAGAAACCATTGTTAGAGATAGCAACAAGATCTGTGGACGGCTTCACTCACTTGGTACAATGACATCCTTATCATGTCTCATTAGGTCTTCTATGATGGTGAATGGTGCCGTTTCTACATCAGCATCTCTCCAATAGACCCAACTATGGGTGGGCCGAAGCGTAGCACTCAACAGCCAATTTCTCGCCTGGGCCATCAACTTTCTCCGCCCAGCTTGTGCAGCGAACCCATGTCTACTTTCGACATCCTGCGTCACCTTCTGTCCGAAATCCTTATGGATAACCGAGATTTCACCAAACGGCATGTGCGGATCAGAATCGGCCTGAAGTTCCCCAAGCATGCTGGATAACATTTCTAGCGTATTATCCTTCGAATCCGAGACCAGGAAAGCCAAGTCGATCAAGTGGTGGGGGTAGGTGAGGTTTCGGAGATGCGAAAAGAACATCGGCAGGTGGGACGAGGCATCCCTAAGAGGTGTGCACATGAGCACACGCTCTTCTTTTTCCCATCCATCTGCGGTGCCCTGAACAGCCGATAGATCATAGTATCGTACGGTTTGTATTTGTAAGTCTTCTGTGGAAGAAAGAAGTCCAAGAGAGACTACTGGGAGAATTGTGGCTCGCCAGGAAGGGAAAATTAGGACTAGGAGTAATAAAGAGACGCCGCCAATCAGGAATAGCCGTTGGATAAGTTGTTTTCGTCGTCGCAGAGCAGGTTGTGAACGCGGTTGAAAGCTGGCGATCGACGGAGCAAAGTCAGCAAAACATCCTTCATTGGTAGGAACCATTAAGCGATGTTGCACATCGCCCATCCCCAAAGTTAAGGGGTGGGATGCGACGGCGGACGCTGCTTACCGGTGGGGAGAAATGGAAAATGTGCTGCCCTGCCCGCGAGGGTAGGCAGCGTAGCCGTTGGTGAAGGCGTGATGCCTGTTCATCTCTCCAAAGCCAGTCGCATCAGTAGCTTGAAAATCGGCCCCGAAGACAAAGGAACCTAGGGGTTCCTAGATCTAAAGGAAACCACAGGCTTGACTTCCTGTCGCCCACTTAAACCAATGCGACTGCGAGGCGGGGACGTAAGATTAACTGCACTACGGAACGATAAAGGCTCATCGATCCCTGGGAGAAAATTAAAAAAGAAATAATGAAACACGATAGGGAAAATGGCGACAAAAGAAGGGAAGGGAGATGACAAGACTCGAAAAGGTCTATGTAGCATTAATTAGCCCGTCGGCCGTCCAGAGCGTCGGAACCAAGCGTTTAGGTGGTTTCAGTGCAGTAGCGCCCGGGCGGTGATTCGCCTCCAAGGACGGAGACCCTGTCGAGTCATTACCGAATCCGGCGGTAGGCCAACTCTTGCCGTTTGCAGACATGCAACCGTCTTCCAAGTCTTTCTTATCACTACTACTCCGTACGATTACATACATACTATCAAAGCACCTTGACACACCGATCCATAATTGGCAGTCCCATCGTTCTTTTATATCTATACCACCCATGATCTATTTACAGAAAACTGATCAAATCCCGATGCTCCCGAAATGAACTTGATACCCAAGGCGTGGAAAAGAGCCCAACTCCGAAAAATGCTAACCGTCGCTATCCAACTCAAAAAGAAATCGCATATACTAACTCGCTCAACTTCAGTTGATCCGTGATATCCTGGACTGGGGAGACCCCATGCCCTTGACACCAATCTCAATTTGTCCCATCAGCTTCCTAAGCAACGCCTCCATTTTAGGCCGGTCTCGAAGCACCGGAATGACGGATCCGGCCTCGTAGTTGTTGTCCAAGATATAATATCGCTCCCTTCCCCATTGGTCCACAGTGTCTCTCTGGAATGCGACTTTCGTGATTACCTTGGCTGGAACACTAGGGTTATTAATGGCACTTTTAGAAAACACCCGCAGGAATGGCCGGAGTCCAGACCGCGTCTGGTGTGCCATTCGAATCGACCGAGGGGCGTTCTCTGTTAAATGGCTCTCTCCTGCCAAGCCGCCGGGATCCAGGGTATATATGTTTAAGGGAATTTTGCCATTCTAAGAAGTGAACCCTGGTTAACTAGGACCCTCAAGGCAATGGCACGATGTTGCAGGTGAACTTACGAGTACCAGACTCCGACGCAAGGCGTACATGGCCGCGCTCATGATTAATTTGCTACTTCCAAAACGCGCATTCCCTTCCTTCGAGGACAATGGTGTTCCCGGTTGTTGATTTCCAAAGTCATGTTTGTCGAAATAATCCAGAGAGCCCTTCGACATGGATGAGCAACCAACATTGATTACCCTTGCTCCGCCGTTTGGTGTCCCATCGCCTGCGCGGAACGCCTCCAGCAAACCGATGGTTAGGAGGAATGGAGCAATACAGTTGGTCTGGTAGACAGGATCAAACCCATCTCTTGTTACTTGGTCGGCGACGTAGGACGCAACAGCGGCGCAGTTAACCAGCAGCGTCACTGGAGGGATCTCTCTGTTTTGGACCCTTTCCACTGTATTCTCTGTGAAGCTGACGACCGAGTTGAAACTTGTCAGGTCCACTCTTGCTACTTCAATCGACCGGGGTCCGATCAACCGGATCTTGTCTCTCAGTTCTTTGACGCTATCGGAGCGGAGATCTCGTGCCAGTAGTAGTAGATGCACAAAAGGATGCGCTTTGGCGATGGCGATGGCTATTGAAGATCCAAGCGACCCATTTCCTCCAGTGATAATCGCTGTACCTGAAAGCGGAGTCGCCATGGGAGGATATTTCTTAGTCGTGAATGCGTAAAATGATTATCGTCCAAGAAAAAAAAAATTTTTTTAAAAAAAAAACAACAGTGAGCGGCGTAGTAGTAAGTAAATATGTCAGCAGGGTATGTTTTGTAAATATTCTGAAACCCAGATGCGACCCACACTCCCGACCGACAACTATAAGAGTGATCTGAAAAAGAAAGGGAGAATGAAAATAAAAAAAAAAGATGGATTATATTGAAGATGCTTGACAAATTATACTAAAATTTGATTAGATCAATTGCGTCCCAACAAGGTACTAACCCCGAGGCCTGAAGCTCGCGTCAGCGAGAGCTTAGGGGCGAAGAAAAAGAGAAAAAAGAAAGAAAAGACTAATTCCAAGATCAGAGATTGATACGATGGAGTATTCCAAGAGTCAAAGCGATCTGACCCGTCATTCAGACCTTTCGAGGCAATAGAAAGGCCAACCGCGATGAAATTTCAAGTGGGGAAGAGTTCGGACGAGATCCACTTGGGAGCAATAAAAAAGTATTTAAAAAGAACCAGAGAAAAAGCAACAAGTACGGAGGTGAAAAAGCGACAAGAAAGAGCGTCTTCAAAGCTAGGAGACAATAAGCGGTTGGGCGATATTCGTTGTTGGCGATTTGAGCCTGGATTGTTGTCAAGTAGTAAGTTCTTTGTATTGTATGCCAAAGACTTGGAAGACGGTAAAGTAAGACAGGATCTGGATCGACTCATGCGGCTGATGGACCATTCAGATCTCTGGATGACAGCGATTGCAAGGGTGTTCTCGACGGTGGTGGAGGCAAAACATGAGCAGCCAAGAATCGTAAGTGTACATCACCGACGTGGTGACACTTCTGTTGCACTGGTGTCTTGGTCTTCATTCCATTGACTTCCGTCTACGAGTCAGTATTTCATTTTCAGGACCAAGGGGACGGTACGAGATGTCGCCATAGAGTCATAGACTCATTTCATTGAGTAACGTAACTTTTCTCCTTTTCCCTCCTTTTCCCCCCTTTTAATGCACTGCCGCCGTCTCTCGTCTTAGTGAATTTTTGTTACTATCTTCCCTACTCCGTCGACTATCGTAGAAGTCCCCATCAACTACCGACAGAATATGGTGTATACAACGCATCAACTCGGATCTATCTATAGAATCCCGAAAGTGGCGTTCCGTTACTACCGACGAACGAATGAACGCCTGTTCATCCTGCAACTAACTTAACCCTTACCTAGTCCCAATCGTGTCTCATTCCGCAACCGAACCGTAAAAATTTCACGAACAAGCTAGAGAAAACCAAACCCAGCCCGTAGCTTACCTAGCGATCTCCCTAGCCCTCTCTCAAGTAGTTTTCGGCCAACGATTCCACTCTGCGTACCCGGATGACGGCGTCCCCCTTTCCAATTGGACAAATCCGGTTTAACCCTGAGGTTATTTCGACCTGAGGAACTTCAAGCGATGGTTAGTTCGGGGGGCTAGAATTCTCCAAAGTACCATGGTGCGGAGACCTGTCAGACGGCGTTACCTTTTTACTAACTGTTTCTGTCACTATGTACTTGTTATGTGACTAATTGTGGCTGGGTTGTTGAAAAAAAAAATAAAAA